TTGAAAAATTAAAGCATCAAAAAATTTTAAAAATCAAAAAATTGAAAAACCGGAAAATCTAAAACCAAGAAACCGAAAAATCGAAGTTAAAAAATTGAAAATTTCAAAAATATAAAATCAGGAACCTGAAAATCGAAAAATTCACTAAAAAATCGAAATATCTCAAGCCGGCTAAATCGAGAAACCAAAAAAATGTAAAATCGAAAATTGAGAAATCTCAAAATTTTACATCAAAATACTAAAATTTCAAAAATCCAGAAAGAAAAAAATCAAAAATCGTAGATTAAAATCGAAAAATCAATAAATCGGGAAACGGAGAAATCGATCATCCAAAATTTAAAAAATCTAAAACTGGAATTGAAAATTCGGAAATTTGAGAATGCAAAAAAACTGAAAAATCCAGGATTTGAAAAATCCCAAAACTGAAACAACGAAAACGTGACAACCGAAAAATAGAGAAATCGGAACATGGAAAAATTGGAAAATAGAAAAATCGAAATTCGAAAAACCGAGAAATCGAAAAATTCAAAAACTAAAACTTGAAAATTGAACAATCAAAAAATCGAAATATCAAAGTCTCAATAAATCTAGAAAAATTGAAAAATCGAAAAATGAAAACTTTTATAAATCAAAAAAATGAAAAACCAAAATCTAGAACCAAGAAACCGAAAAATTGAAAATGTGAAAAATTAAAAATTTCAAAAATATAAAATCAGAAACCTGAAAAATCCAAAAATTTGATTAAAAAACCGAAGCATCTAAAACCGGCTAAATCGAGAAACCAAAAAAATGTAAAATCGAAAAATTGGGAAGTCTAAAAACGTAACATTAAAAAACTGAAAAATCTAAAATTTAAAAATTCTAAAAATTGGAAAAGACATCTCGAATAATTGAAAGTCGATAAATCGGGAAATCGGGAAATCTAGGAATAGAAAAGTCTAAAATTTGAAAAACTAAATATTAAAATTTCAAAAATCCAGAAAGAAAAAAATCAAAAATCGAAGATTAAAATCGAAAAATCGATAAATCGGGAAACGGAGAAATCAATCATCCAAAATTTAAAAAATCTAAAACTGGAATTGAAAAATCGGAAATTTGAGAATCGAAAAACTGAAAAATCCAGGATTCGAAAAATCCCAAAACTGAAACAACGAAAACGTGACAACTGAAAAATAGAGAAATCGGAACATGGAAAAATTGGAAAATAAAAAAATCGAAATTCGAATAACCGAGAAATCGAAAAATTCATAAACTAAAACTTGAAAATTGAACAATCAAAAAATCGAAATATCAAAATCTCAATAAATTTTGAAAAATTGAAAAATCGAAAAATGAAAACTTTTATAAATCAAAAAATTGAAAAACCAAAATCTAGGACCAAGAAACCGAAAAATTGAAAATTTGAAAAATTAAATATTTCAAAAATATAGAATCAGAAACCTGAAAAATCCAAAAATTTAATTAAAAAACCGAAGCATCTAAAAGCCGGCTAAATCGAGAAACCAAAAAAATGTAAAATCGAAAAATTGAGAAGTCTAAAAACGTAACATTAAAAAACTGAAAAATCTAAAATTTAAAAATTCTAAAAATTGGAAAAGACATCTCGAATAATTGAAAGTCGATAAATCGGGAAATCGGGAAATCTAGGAATAGAAAAGTCTAAAATTTGAAAAACTAAATATTAAAATTTCAAAAATCCAGAAATAAAAAAATCGAGAAATTAAAAAATTGAAAAATATAAAATTTAAAAATTAAAAATTGACAAAGTAAAATATATGAAAAATGCCAAAACTGAAATTTTGAAAAATTGAAAAATGCAAGAAAAATCGAAGAATTGAAAAATTGAAAATCCCCAAAACTAAAACATCGAAAAATTGAGAAATCGGAAAATTGAAAAATCGAGGGATCAAAAATCAAAAATCCAAGATTAAAATCGAAAAATCGAAAAATCAAAAAACCGAAGTGTCAAGAAATGGAAACATGAAAAAGTCATGATATCGAAAAATTGAAAAATTGAAAAATGTAAAATTTTAAAAATCGAACAATGAAAAATCAGAATTCGAAAATTTTAAAAACTGGAAATCTAAAAATCGAAAAACCGAGATGTCAAGAAATCTAAATATCAAAAAGTAATCAAATAAAAAACCAAAATTTAAGAAGTCTAAAATTGGAATTGAAAAATAGGAAATTTGAAGAACGAAAAACTGAAAAATCAAGACATTGAAAAATACCAAAAAAAAAACTGAAAAACTGAAAAGTCGAAAACTTTAAAAACCGAAAAATGGAAAAACCAAAAAATCTGAAACGCAGGAGCAGAAAAATCGAGAGACCAAAAAATCAAAAATCAAAAATTTTAAAAATCGAAAATTCAAAAATCCGGAAAATTAAAGAATTGAAAACTGAAAAATCTAAACATGAAAGGTCGAGAAAACGATATTAGAAAAACATTACAAACGTCAAAACTGAAAAATTGAAGAATTTAAATTCGAAAACTTGAATAGTCGAAAAGTGAAAAAATCGAGAATTAGAAAATTTGAAGAATCGGGAACTTGAAAAATTGAAAAATTAAATAATCCCAACACTGAAATATCGAAAAATTCAATAAAGGAAAAATTGAATATTGAAAAATCGAAATCGAAAAATTCAAAAATTTAAAAACCGAAAAATTGAAAAAAAAATGGAGAACCGAAAAATTGAAGAGCCCGAAAACTGAAAGATCGAAAAATTGAGAAGTCGCAAAAATGAAAAATAGGGAGATCGAAAAGTCAAAAACCGAAACTTCAAAAAATCCGGAAAATTAAAGAATTGAAAAACTGAAAACTCGAAACATTGAAAGGTTGTCAATAACTGAAATATTGAAAAATTGAAAAATTTAAATTCGAAAACTTGAAGAGTCGGAAAATTGAGAAATCGAAAAATGAAAAAATCGGGAATTAGAAGATTTGAAGAATCGAGAACTGGAAGAATTGAAAAATTGAATAATCCCAACACTGAAATATCCAAAAATTCAATAAACGAAAAATCGACGCAGTGAAAAATCGGTCAATGGAAACTTGGAAAATTAAAAAATTAAGAGAAAATACTGAAAAATCCTAAACTGAAATATCGACAAATTGAAAAATTGAAACAAAATGGAGAACCGAAAAACTGAAAAGCCCGAAAAATGAGTGATCGAAAAATTGAAAAGTCGCAAAAATGAAAAATCGAGAGATCGAAAAGTCAACAATCGAAAATTCAAAAAATCCGGAAAATTAAAGAATTAAAAAAATTGAAAAATCGATACATTGGAAGGTCCTCAATAACTGAAATATTGAAAAATTGAAAAATATAAATTCGAAAACTTGAAGAGTTGGAAAATTGAGAAATCGAAGAATGAGAAAATCGAGAATTGGAAGATTTGAAAAATCGAGAACTTGAAGAATTGAAAAATTGAATAATCCCAACACTGAAATATCGAAAAATTCAGTAAAAAAAATAGACCAAGTGAAAAATCGAAATCGAAAAATTCAAAAATTTAAAAACAGAAAAATTGACAAAGTAAAATATCGGCAAGTGGAAACTTGGAAAATTAAAAAATTGAGAGAAAATATCGAAAAATCCAAAACTGAAATATCGAAAAATTGAAAGATTGAAGAAAAAATGGAGAACCGAAAAATTGAAGAGCCCGAAAACCGAAAGATCGAAAAATTGAAAAGTTGCAAAAATGAAAAATCGGGAGATCGAGAAGTCAAAAACTGAAACTTCAAAAAATCCGGAAAATTAAAGAATTGAAAAACTGAAAACTCGAAACATTGAAGGGTCGTCAATAACTGAAATATTGAAAAATTTAAATTCGAAAACTTGAAGAGTCGGAAAATTGAGAAATCGAAAAATGAAAAAATCGAAAATTAGAAGATTTGAAGAATCGAAAACTTGAAGAATTGAAAAATTGGGAGAAAATATTGAAAAATGTCAAAATTGAAATACCGAAAAATTAAAAAATTGAAAAAAAATGAAGAACCGAAAAATTCAAAAACCCGATAACTGAAACATTGAAAAATGAAAAATCGAGAGATCGAAAAACCAAAAATCAAAAATTTTAAAAATTGAAAAAGTGAAAAATTTTAGAAATCAAAAAACGAAAATTCAAAAAATCAAACAATCGAAGAATAGAAAAACTGAAAAATCGAAATCGAAAATTCAAAAATTTAAAAATTGACAAAGTATAAAATCGGGAATTGGAAAATTTGAAGAGTTGAGAAATTAAAGAATTGAAAAATTGAATAATCCCAACAATGAAATAACGAAAAATTCAGTAAAATAAAAATCGACAAATTGATAAATCAAAATCGAAAAATCTATAAAATTGAAAAATCCAAAGGTTAAAAAATCAAAAAAATTGAAAAATTAAATAATTGAAAAATTGAAACTCGAAAAATTGAGTCAAAAAATTGGTACATCGGTAAATTGAGGAATGGAAAAATGAAAGAATCGAGAAATCGAAATTTTGAAAAAACAAGTAATCGTGAAAAATTGTGTGGCGGTACATTAGTTACTAAGATGGTAAGCGAGGAAAAATAAGCCGCTTTGTAGTCTAGTGGTCAAGGCACCTGCCCGGCAAGCGGGAGACGTCTGGTTCAATTTCTCGGTGCAGCAACATTTTTCTTAGCTTAACTTACGACTTATCATCGAAAATAAAATTCGCAAAATCAAATTTTCTAATTTTTCGAAGAATCCGTATTTATTTAATTATTAATTAATTTTTAACCAATAAAGATTATACAAAGTCATATCCTAATCATCTCCTACCCATTCTTGTGTATACATTTTTGATCTATTATTATTATATTTATATTATAAAACGGTAAAAGAAGGAATAATAACTGTAGTTGTAGAAAATCTACGATAACGGTAATGGTATTCGAAAATGTAAAACACTGATAGTGAAAATTGACTATCCTTAAGTAAATATTATCAAATCGAAACATAATTGTTCTAAATCGAGCATTTCAAACATCCCTTCAGTGATACGCTTCAAGAATCTCTTTTATGAAATCATCCCACCAACCCTGTAACAAGTTTAGAATAAAAGGCAACCCCTCTTTATCCAAAGCCGTGTAGACATAAGAATTCCACGCCAGCTCCTTCAAAATCCTCAGGTCGCCCTCCCTGGGAGTCATCCCCATAAAAGCCATATACCAGTCATAGCTCAACCCCTTCGCCCCCCAGAAACTAGGACCGTCGCACGTGATCACCACCGGGTACCCATTCGCAATCAAATAAGCACCCACATGGTTCCTAAGATCATCAACCAATTTCAAAACCTGATTAGATATTGGGTTCAACTCGATTGCGATGTTCCTCTCCTTGACGACTCTAAGTACTTCTGGGTGTTTCGTGATGGCAAAAGCGTGACCGATGCGACTGGTGTTAAGCAAGATGGCGTCGATTAGGTTAAGATCGGTGGTTCCATACCAGTTGGTTTCGCCAGCGTGGAAGAAAAATTTTGTTCGGTTGGCAATCGTTGCTAGCTGGTCTGCAAACACAGAAAGGGGTTCCCCGAGGTCTTCTTGACCTACTAGATCAAAGCCGACGACTATCTCCGGATAGGCTGCCCGCAATTCCAAGTAGTCGGAAATGTAACTGTCCATAGTGTCAATGCTGACCTTTCTAGAATTAGAATAAATAACCCGATGTCCTGCAAAGTCTTGACTGTCAATGGCGAATTCCTGTTGTGTTTCTTTGTACAGTTGAGCGGTGTCCAAAGGTCCATAGATGGTGTTATTTGAATCAAAAGTTTCCCCGAAAACTCCTCTAATTTCCAAGTACTTGACGTTATCGTCGTGGAACTCCCGAAGCACTTGGTACAAATAGTCGTGCAAAAACTGCCTGTAGTCAAACAGAGGCGCCACGAACTCAAAAATGTCCTCAAAAGCGCTCCAGACTTCATTAATATCACAACAAGTACCTGCCGGATCGTCCACAACCAACGTCATTTTGCTCCTCAAAAAATCGTCAAACCCGGAATCTTCGTTTCGCAAATCTTCCAACAACCTCCAGTCACAATCGTCGTTGACACCACCGAAGAAAAAGTGCAGTTTGAACTTTGTGTTGTCGTCACAGCCATACAACCCCTCCATGTACGTCAGATTCAAAAGAGCCTCAGTACTCAACATAGCGGTAGAATGGGAGTGCAGAGACGCTCCCTTTGGTACTTTCTGGATGAACTTGAACACCTCGGATTGCTCGATGGCCGCTTTGGAGTGAAAGAAGTGAATCGAGGGCAAAAATTTTGACGGGTTTGATAAACCTTCGTCGTATTCTTGGAGTTTGAACTTCATTAGGATGTCGTTGACTTTTTGTTCGTTTTCGGTTAGTTCCCAGAAGGAGCCGAAGAGTTGGGAGGCTTCGTTTGATAGGAGGGTGTTGCGGTCGTCCCAGAAGTCGGCGAGAGCGGTGTGGATGAAGAGGATCAAGAACAGAAGTGGCCTCATTGTGAACACTAAGTTATTGCTTTGTGGTGAGATTAATATAATTGTGGGTCGAGTGGCGATAAGGATCGTGAGATTACAAAGATGGAAGATATTGGAGAGTGTTGTATTTTTGGAAAAGTAATCTCAAAATATCTTACTTGGCAACAAAGAATCTTTGATTTTGTTTTATTTACACAAGAGGAATTTTCGGTGTAGATAGACTGACTACGGAGATGTAATAATAAAAATTCTCAAAATTGAAAAATCAGAATTCGAAAATTTGAAAAATTTGGAAATTTAAAAATCGAAAAATCGAATTATCAAAAAGCAATAAAACCGAAAATCCAAAATTTAATAAATCTAAAATTGGAATTGAAAAGTAGGAAATTTGAAGAACGAAAAACTGAAAATTCAAGAAATTGAAAAATTCCAAAACTGATAATCGAAAAATGAAAAAACCGAATTGTCGAAAAACTGGAAAGTCGAAAATTTTAAAAACCGAAAAATGGAAAAAAACAAAAAATCTAAAACACAGGAGCAGAAAAATCGAGAGACCAAAAAATCAAAAATCAAAAATTTTAAAAATTGAAAAATTGAAAAAGTCGAAAATTCAAAAAATCGGTAAATTAAAGAATTGAAAACTGAAATATGGAAACATGAAAGGTCGAGAAAACGAGAATAGAAAAACATTGCAAACGTCAATAACTGAAGAATTGAAGAATTTATATTCGAAAACTTGAAGAGTAGGAAAATTGAATAATGCCAACACTGAAATGTCGAAAAATTAAAAAATTTAAAATCCGAAAAATTGACAAAGTAAACGGGAAATGGAAACTTAAAATATAAATAAATTACGAGAAAATATTGAAAAATGCCAAAACTGAAAAGTGGAAAAATAAACTTGAAGAATCGAAAAATTGAAAAGCCTGAAAACCGAAAGATCGGAAAATTGAGAACCCAAAAAAGAAAAATCGAGAGATCGAAAAATCAAAAATTGAGAAATCAAAAAATTCGAAAAAATAAAGAATTGAAAAACTGAAATATTGAAAAATTGAAAAATTTAAATTCGAAAACTTGAAGAGACGGAAAATTGAGAATTCGAAAAATAAAAAACTCGAGAATTAGAAGATTTGAAGAATCGAGAAATGGAAGAATTGAAAAACTGAATAATCCAAACACTGATATATCGAAAAATTCAATAAACGAAAAATAGACAAAGTGAAAAATCGAAATAGAAAAATTCAAAATTTATAAACCGAAAAATTGGGAAATCGAAAAATGAAAACTTTTATAAATCAAAAAATTGAAAAACCAAAATCTAGGACCAAGAAACCGAAAAATTGAAAATTTGAAAAATTAAATATTTCAAAAATATAAAATCAGAAACCTGAAAAATCCAAAAATTAAAAAATCGAAGCATCTAAGCCGGCTAAATCAAGAAACCAAAAAAATGTAAAATCTAAAAATTGAGAAGTCTAAAAACGTTACATTAAAAAACTGAAAAATCTAAAATTGAAAAATTCTAAAAAGTAAATAAGACATCTCGAGTAATTAAAAGTCGATAAACCGGGAAATCGAGAAATCCAGGAATAGAAAAGTCTAAACTTTGAAAAACTAAATATTAAAATTTCAAAAATCCAGAAATAAAAAAACCAGATATAAAAAAGATCGAGAAATTAAAAAAATAAAAAATATAGAATTTAAAAATTAAAAAATTGACAAAGTAAAATATACGAAAAATGCCAAAACTAAAATTTTGAAAAATTGAAAAATGCAAGAAAAATTGAAAATCCCCAAAACTAAAACATCGAAAAATTGAGAAATAGGAAAATTAAAAAATTGAGGTGCCGAAAATCAAAACTCGAAGATTAAAATCGAAAAATCGAAAAATCAAAAAACCGAAGTGCCAAGAAATCAAAACATCAAAAAGTCATGAAACCGAAAAATTGAAAAATGTGAAATTTTAAAAATCAAACAAGTGGAAAATAAGTTAAAACTGAACAATTAAAATATCCAAAAACTGAAGAATAAAAAAATTTTAAAATCGAGAAATCAAAACACCAAAAAGTCGAAAAATCTTAAAATTCAAAAATATAAAATTCAAAACTCGAAAAATCGGGAAACGGAGAAATCGATTATCCAAAACTTAAAAAATCTAAAAGTGGAATCGAAAAATGGGAAATCCGAGAATCGAAAAACTGAAAAATCGAAAAATGCCAATGAAGTAACGAAAACATGACAACCGAAAAATCGAAAATCAAAAGATGGAAAAATTCAAAAACTTAAACATTGAAAAATTGAACAATCAAAAAATTGAAAACTCGTCTAAAACCAAGAAACCGAATAGTCGAAGTCGAAAAATTGGAAATTTCAAAAATTCAAAATTTCAAAAATATAAAATCAGGAACCTGAAAAATCGAAAAATTCAACTAAAAATCGAAACATCTCAAGCCGAGAAACCAAAAAAATGTAAAATCGAAAAATTGAGAAGCCTAAAAACTAAAAAACTGAAAAATGTAAAATTTAAAAATTCTAAAATTGAAAAATGTCTTTCAATTTTTAGAATTTTCGAATAATTGAAATATCGATAAATCGGGAAATCGAGAAATCCAGGAATGGAAAATTCTAAAATTTTAAAAACTAAATATTAAAATTTCAAAAATCCAAAATTAAAAAAATCGAGAAATTAAAAAATTGAAAAATTGACAAAGTAAAATATGCGAAAAATGCCAAAACTGAAATTTTGAAAAATTGGAAAATGCAAGAAAAATTGAAGTATTGAAAAATTGAAAATCCCCAAAACTAAAACATCGAAAAATTGAGAAATCGGAAAATTGAAAAATCAACAGATCAAAAATCAAAAATCGAAAAATCAAAAACCCGAAGTGTCAAGAAGTCGAAACATCAAAAAGTCATGAAATCGAAAAATTGAAAAATTGAAAAATGTAAAATTTAAAAAATCTAACAATGAAAAATCAGAATTAGAAAATTTGACAAATGTGGAAATCTAGAAATCGAAAAACCAAGATGACAAGAAATTGAAATATCAAAAAGTAATAAAATCGAAAATCCAAAATTTAAGAAATCTAAAATTTCAATTGAAAAATAATAAATTTGAACAACGAAAAACTGAAAAATTAAGAAATCGAAAAATTCCACAATTGATAATCGAAAAATCAAAAAATCGAAATGTCGAAAAACTAGCAACTCGAAAAATTGGAAAGGCGAAAACTTTAAAAACCGAAAAATGGAAAAATCAAGAAATCTAAAACACAGGAACAGAAAAATCGAGACACCAAAAAAATCAAAAATTTTAAAAATCGAAAATTCAGAAAATCGGAAAATTTAAGAATTGAAAACCGAAAAATCGAAACATGAATGGTCGAGAAAACGAGAATACAAAAACATTGCAAACGTCAACAACTGAAAAATTGAAGAATTTAAATTCGAAAACTTGAAGAGTCGAAAAATGAAAAAATCGAGAATTTGAAAATTTCAAGAATCGGGAACTTGAAGAACTGAAAAATTGAATAATCTCAACACTGAAATATCGAAAAATTCAATAAACGAAAAATTGAAACTTGAAAAATCTAAATCGAAAAATTCAAAAATTTAAAAAAAAAATTGACAAAGTAAAAAATCGGGAAACGGAAACAATTGAAAGAAAATATTGAAAAATCCAAAATTGAAATATCGAAAAACTGAAAAGCCCGAAAAACGAAAGATCGAAAAATTGAGAAGTCGCAAAAATGAAAAATCGAGAGACCGAAAAGTCAACAATCGAAAATTCAAAAAATCCGGAAAATTAAAGAATTGAAAACTGAAAAATCGAAACATTGAAAGGTCGTCAATAACTGAAATATTGAAAAATTGAAAAATTTAAATTCCAAACCTTGAAGAGTCGGAAAATTGAGAAATCGAAAAATGAAAAATTCGAGAATTAGAAGAGTTGAAGAATTGAATAATCCCAACACTGAAATATCGAAAAATTCAATAAACGAAAAATAGACAAAGTGAAAAATCGAAATCGAAAAATTCACAAATTTAAAAACCAAAAAATAGCGGAAGTAAAAAATCGGGAAATGGAAACTTGGAAAATTAAAAAATTGAGAGAAAATTTAGAAAAATGCAAAATTGAAATATCGAAAAACTGAAAAGCCGAAAAAACGAAAGATCGAAAAATTAAGAAGTCGCAAAAATGAAAAATCGAGAGATCGAAAAGTCAACAATCGAAAATTCAAAAAATCCGGAAAATTAAAGAATTGAAAACTGAAAAATCGATACATTGAAAGGTCGTCAATAACTGAAATATTGAAAAATTGAAAAAATTAAATTCGAAGCCTTGAAGAGTCGGAAAATTGAGAAATTGAAAAAAAAAAATCGAGAACTGAAAGAATTGAAAAATTAAACAATCCCAACACTGAAATATCGAAAAATTCAATAAACGAAAAGTAGACAAAGTGAAAAGTCGAAATCAAAAATCTAAAAATTTAAAAACCGAAAAATTGACAAAGTAAAAAATCGGAAAATGGAAACTTGAAAAATTAAAAAATTGAGAGAAAATATGGAAAAATCCAAAATTGAAAAAAAAAGGGAAAACCGAAAAATTGAAAAGCCAGAAAAACGAATGATCGAAAAATTGAGAAGTCGCAAAAATGAAAAATCCAGAGATCGAAAAGTCAAAAATTGAAAATTCAAAGAATCCGGAAAATTAAAGAATTGAAAAACTAAAAAATCGGAACATGAAAAGGTCGTCAATAACTGAAATATTGAAAAATTGAAAAATTTAAATTCGAAAGCTTGAAGAGTCGGAAAATTGAGAAATCGAAAAATGAAAAAATCGAGAATTAGAAGATTTGAAGAATCGAGAACTTGAAGAATTCAAAAATTGAATAATCCCAACACTGAAATATCGAAAAATTCAAAAATTTAAAATCCAAAAAATTGACAGAGTAAAAAATCGGGAAATGGAAACTTGAAAAATGCCAAAATTGAAATACCGAAAAATTAAAGAATGGAAAAAAATTGAAAAACCGAAAAATTGAAAAACCCCAAAACTGAAACATCGAAAGATGAAAAATCGAGAGATAGAAAAATCATAAATCAAAAATTTTAAAAATTGAAAGATTTTAAAAATCAAAAATCGAAAATTCATAAAATCAAAAAATTTAAGAATAGAAAAACTGAAAAATCGAATCACTGAAAAGTTGAGAAATCAAGAATAGAAAAACAATGCAAACGTCAATAATTGAAAAATTAAAAAATCGAAAATTAGAAAATTTGGAGGGTTGAGAGCTTGAAGAATTGAAAAATTGAATAATCTCAACAATGAAATATCGAAGAATTCAATGAACTAAAAATCGACAAATTGAAAAATCAAAATCGGAATATCAAAAAATTGAAAAATCCAAAGCCTGAAAAATCAAAATAATTGAAAAACAGAAAAACAGAAACATTAAAAAGTCGAGAAATTGGGAAAGGGAAAAAATCGACAAAATTGAAAATTTAGAAACGTCAGATATTGAAAAATCGAAAAATCCGAGAATCGAAAAATTGAGTCAAAAAATTCGTAAAAAATAAGTACATCGGTAAATTGAGGAATGAAAGAATAAAAAAAAATCGAGAAATCGAAATTTCGAAGAATCGAGAAATTGAAAAAACGAAAATTTCCCAAGAATCTCAACACAAAAATTTGAGTAATCGCGAAAAATAGTTTAGTGGTGACGGCATATGCCCGGCAAGCGGAAGACGTGTGGTTCCTACCGGTGCAGCAAAATTTTTCTTCGATTACCTTAAATTGAAAATTGAAAAACTGAAAAATTAAGACACCAAAAAATCGAGAAATCGAAAATTGAAAAATCGAGAAATGCAAAAGCCAACCAATCGAAAATCAGATATATCAAGAAATCGAAAAATTGTTATCCTGATCCACTTTTTTTAAGTGTAGAAATTGACAAAATTGTAAAATTACATCATCAATTCCTAGGCGGGGAAATAATGGGACCCAGCATGACCTGACAAGCATCTGGTCACCGCTCTAAGTATGAGGGAAGTACTGTATAAATTCCTTAGACCGATTTTTTTAACTTATAGAATTGGACCAGTTTGTACCCAATAAAGATTATACAAAATCATATTTTAATCACCTTCTTCTACCCATTCTTGTGTTTCCATTTTTGCCCATCCGACAAAAATTTTAAAAATTCCTTCACAAAATCTAACTCTAGGTTTCTAAATTAAGCATCTTGTTTATACTTGGAAGCATTTATTACGACCTCGAAACACAACTTTTCTAAATCGAGCACTCCAAAACCTTGTCGACAACATCGATAAGATTACCACACTTCACTGATACGTTTCAAGAATCTCGTTTATAAAATCATCCCACCAACCTGTCAGCAACTCTATAGCATACACCAAATCCTCTTCGCTCAACGACGAATAAAGCAAAGAATTCCACGCCAGCTGCTTCAAAATCCGCAGATCGCCATCCCGAGGGGTCATCCCCATAAAAGCCATATACCAGTCGTAGCTCAACCCCTTCGACCCCCAGAAACTCGGGTCATCGCACGTGATCACCACCGGGTACCCATTCGCAATCAAATAAGCACCCACATGGTTCCTAAGATCATCAACCAGTTTCAAAACCTGATTAGATATTGGATTCAACTCGAGTCCTATGTTTTTCTCCTTGACGACTCTGAGTACTTCTGGGTGTTTCGTAATGGCGAAAGCGTGACCGATGCGACTCGTGTTGAGCAAGATGGCGTCGACTAGGTTAAGATCGGTTGCTCCGTACCAGTTGGTTTCTCCAGCGTGGAAGAAAAATTTTGTTTGGTTGGCAATCGTTGCTAGTTGGTCTGCAAACACAGAAAGGGGTTCCCCGAGGTCTTCTTGACCGACTAGATCGAAGCCGGCGATCAGATCGGGTTGGGCTGCTCGTAAGTCGAAGTAGTTGGAAATGTAGGTGTCCATGGTGTCAGTACTGACCCGTCTGGATTTAGAATAGATGATTCGAATTCCGGCAAAGTCGGGATTGTTTTGGAGAAATTCTCGCTGTGTATCTATGTACAGTTGAGCTGTGTCCAAAGGTCCATAGATGGTGTTATTTGAATCAAAAGTCTCCCCGAATCCTCCTCTAATTTCCAAGTATTTGACGTTGTCGTCGTTGAACTCCTGAAGCACTTGGTACAAATAGTCGTGCAAAAACTGCCTGTAGTCAAACAGAGGTGACACAAACCCAAAAATCCCCTGGAAGGTGCTCCAAACAGCATTAATATCACCATAAGTACCCACCGGATCGTCCACAACCAGCGTCATCTTACTTGTAAGAAATTCATCAAACCCAGAATCTTCGTTTCGCCAATCCGACAACAACCTCCACTCACAATCGTCGTTAACACCACCGAAAAAAAAGTACAGTCTAAACGTTCCATTGTCGTCACACCCATACAACCCCTCCATGTAAGTCAAGTTGAAGAGAGCCTCAAAACTCAACATAGCGCTAGAATGGGAGTGCAGAGACGCTCCTTTTGGTACCTTCTGGATGAACTTGAACACCTCGGATTGCTCGATGGCCGCTTTCGAATGAAAGAAGTGAATCGAGGGCAAAAATTTTGACGGATCCAAGAAACCCTCGTCGTATTCTTGGAATTTGAGGTTCATTAGAATGTCGTTTACTTTTTGCTCATCTTCGGTTAGTTGGATTGACGATCCGAGGAGTTGAGAGGCTTCGTTTGATAGAAGGGTGTTGCGGTCGTCCCAGAAGTCGGCGAGAGCGGTGTGGGTGAGGAGGATCAAGAACAGAAGCGGTGTCATTGTGGAAACTAAGTTGTTGTCTCGTGGTGACATTGATATAATTGTGGTTCGAGTGGCGATAAGGATCGTGAGATTACGAAGATGGAAGGTTTTGGAGATTGTTGAAAAAAAGTCGTAGTATTAGACGAAATAAATAATAAAAATTGTAATAATAATAACAAAAGTGAAGGTGGATTCATAAACCACAAATACAGGAGTGTGTTTTTATAAAATTTAAGTGGTACTGGCTATGCAAACTTTCGAGGTGAATTAAAAAAAAAATAATAAGCATGATTTTAGTAATTTTTTGTAAAAATATACAGACTCGTGTTCGAACCATGGAAGTATCGGCGAGAAGTACCTACCATCTATGATACCTGGAAATTACGGACTAGTACTTGTCAAGATAAGATTGATTTTGGCAGATGACCCACTCTTCAAAGAAGATAAATGAGAAATCGGAAACTTGTACAACTGTATAATCGGAAAATCAAAAAATAAAATATCGAAAAATTGAAAAAAAAAACAAGTCTTATAAAATCGAAATCGAAATTCCTGTTTTCATTTTTTTTTTACTTTTTAGATTTTTCAACTTTTGAATATTTTATTTTATAATTGTTTTGACAACTTTGTAGTTTTAATTCCTATCTTTTGATTTTTGAAGTTTTAACTTTACAATTTTGGAATTTTTTGATTTTTAATTTTTCAAGTTAAAATTTTTCCTTTTCACGATTTGTCATTTTTAGATTTTTTACTAAAAGAACAAATTTACTCGAACCAAAATTTTGAAAAATCGAGAAATCCAAAAATTGAAAATTAGAAACAAAATTTTCAGATGTTTTAAAGTTACGGTAAACATGGCAATCGCTGGTCAGAATTACTTTTTGCTTCCTCGCAAAAACCCGGTGACAAAAAATCAAAAATCGAAAATTTAAAAAAACATACATTTATTTTCTCCATATTTTTAAAAATCAAACACAGATCAAAAAATTGAAAATTTAAAAAGCGAGAAACCGAAAGATCGAAAAATGGGAACACAAAAGAATTGAAAAATTTTAAATTAGAAAATTCGAAAAATTAAAAAATAGAAAATTCAAGCAACTGAAAAATCGAGAAATCAAAAAGTGTAAAGTTTATAATATCAAAAAATTAAAACACGTATGTATCGAAAAATTGAAGAATCTAAAAAATGAAACAAAATATCGAAAAACTGAAATTTCAAAAATCGAGAAATCGAAAAATTATAAAGTAGAAAATATGAAAAACCAAAAATTTAAATATTCAAAACATGGAAAAATCAAAAACCTGAAAAATTGAAACAGAATAATAGAACAACTGAAAAATCAAAAAATTGAGAAACCGAAACACTGAAAAGTCGAGTAATCGAGAAATGGGAAATTCAAAAAATCGGAAAGTCGAAAACTGCAAAAATTGAAAGTTTAAGAAATAAAAAAAATTTAAAATCGAAAAATTGAGGAATCAAAAAATCGGAGAAAAATTAAAAGTTTTAAATCAAAGAATCTAGAAATTCAAAAATCAGAAAACAGAAAAATCGAGAAGTAGAGAAACTGAAAAATCGAATGTCGAAAACTTAGAAATTCAAAAAGTTGAAAAACTAGAACATCAATATATTTAAAAATTTTAAATTAAAATCATCGAAAAATTATAATATCGAGAAATGGAGAATCAAAAAGTGAAAAATCGAGATATTGGAAACTGAGATTTCTAAAAGTGGAATCATCAAAAAATCGAAAAATTGAAAAATCGAGAAATGAAACATTTTAAAACGATATTGAAGTATCAAAAAAATCAAAGATCTTAAAAATCGAAAAACTGCAAAATCTGAGGGCGAGAATTCGAAAAACCGAAAGATTCAAAAATGGAAACATAAAAAGAATTGAAAAATCTAAAACTAAAAAATTCAAAAAATTAAAATACGTATGTATCGAAAAACTGAAGAATCTAAAAAATGAAACATAAAAATCGAATTACTGAAACTTAAAAAAATCGAAAAAAAAATAAAAATTTTAAATCAAAAAATCTAGAATTTCGAAAATCAAAAAATTGAAAAATCGAGAAGTCGAATGTTGAAAATTTAGAAATTCGAAAAATTGAAAAAAGAAATAGAAGAACTGAAACATTGGGAAATCGAAAAATCTAGAATTTAAAAAAATCGAAAAATTAAAATATCGAGATATTAAGTGTCAAAGAATTAAAAAAATCGAAAAGCCGAAAAATAGAAAAGGTCTAAACTGAAATATCGAAAAATTGAGAAATCAAATATTAAAACATCTAGAAATCGAAAAGTCGAAAATCCAAAACGTCGAAAAGTTACAAATTTTGAAAAATTGAAACATTGGAATTTTTTTATTTTTAATTTTTCAAGCTCTCAGGTTAAAATTTTTCCGTTTCACTATTTGTCATTTTTCGATTTTTCGAAATCGAAAAGTCCATAAATTGAAAATTAGAAGCAAAATTTTCAGATGTTTTAAAGTTACGGTAAACATGGCAATCGTTGGTCAAAATTACTTTTTACTTCCTTCCAAAAACTCGGTAACAAAAAATCAAAAATCAAAAATTTTTAAAAATATACATCTATTTTCTCCACATTTTTAAAAATTAAATAATTGAGAAATCGGAAAACTGCCAAAATTGTAATTTTAAAAATTCGGAAGCTTTTTTCACTTGTCCAGGGAAATCAAAATCGAAAGACAGATCAAAAAATTGAAAATTTGAAAAGCGAGAAACCGAAAGATCGAGAAATGGGAACATAAAAGAATCTAAAACTAAAAATTCGAAAAATTAAAAATACATAGAAAACTCAAACAACCGAAAAATTGAGAAATCAAAAAGTGTAAAGTTTAAAAAATCAAAAAATGAAAATGAAGGATCTAAAAAATGAAACAAAAAATCGAAAAACTGAAACTTAAAAAAATTGGGAAATCAAAAATTGAAAAATCGAGAAATCGAAACGTTGAAAAATCAAAACGCAGAAAAATTGAAAAATCAAAAATTCAAAAATTGAGAAATCGAAAAATCATAAAGTAGAAAATATGAAAAACAAAAAATTTAAATATTCAAAAAATGGAAAAATCAGAAACCTGGAAAATTGAAACATTGAAGAATAGAACAACTGAAAAATCAAACAATTGTGAAACCGAAGCACTGAAACGTCGATTAATCGAAAAATAGGAAATTCAAAAAATCGAAAAGTCAAAAACCGCAAAAATGAGGAATCAAAAAAATCGGAAAAAATTAAAACAGAAAAATCGAGAAATGGAGAAACTGAAAAATTGAATGTCGAAAACTTAGAAATTAAAAAAATTGAAAAACTAGAACATCACTATATTTAAAAAATTTAAATTAAAACCGTCGAAAAATTATAATATCAAGAAAGGGAAAATCAAAAATTGAAAAATCGAGATTTTGGAAGCTGAGAATTCTAGAAGTAAAAGAAAGCATCGAAAAATCGAGAAATTGAAAAATCGAGAAATGAAAATTTTATAACGAAATTGAAATATCAAAAAATCAAAGATTTTAAAAATCGAAAAACTGCAAAATTTGAAGTCGAGAAATCGAAAAACCGGAAGATCGAGAAATGAGAACATAAAAAAATTGATAAATCTAAGACTCAAAAATTCGAAAAATTAAAATACCGAAAAACCGAAGAATCTAAAAAATGAAACATAAAAATCGAAAAACTGAAACTTCAAAAAAACGAAAAAAAAATAAAAATTTTAAGAAAAAAAATCTAGAATTTCAAAAATCATAAATTGAAAAATCAAAAACTTGAAAAATTGAAACATCGGAATTTTTTGATTTTTAATTTTTCAAGCTCTCAAGAACAAATTTACTCGACACGAAATTTTGAAAAATCGAAAAATCCAAACATTTAAAATTAGGAACAAAATTTTCAGATGTTTCAGTTACGGTAAACATGGCAAATCCCTGATCAAAATTACTCTTTACTTCCTTCCAAAAACTGGTGACAAAAAATCAAAAATCGAAAATTTAAAATAATATACATCTATTTTTTCCATATTTTTAAAAATTAAATAATTGAGAAATCGGAAAACTCCCACAATTGTGAAATTAAAAAATCGGAAGCTTTTTTCAGTTGCTCAGAGAAATCAAAAATCGAAAGACAGATCAAAAATTGAACATTTAAAAAGCGAGAAACCGGAAGATCGAGAAATGGGAACATAAAAAAATTGAAAAATCTAAAACTAAAAAATTCGAAAAATTAAAAAATCGAAAACTCAAACAACTGAAAAATCGAGAAATCAAAAAGTGTAAAGTTTAAACTATCAAAAAATATCACATAAAAAATCGAAAAACTGAAACTTCAAAAATTGAGAAATCAAAAATTGAAAAATCGAGAAATCGAAAAGTTGAAAAATTAAAACGTAGAAAAATTGAAAAATCAAAAATTCAAAAATCGATAAATCGAAAAATCATAAAATAGAAAATATGAAAAACCAAAAATTTAGATATTCAAAAAATGGAAAAATTGAAACATAAATCAAAAAATTGAGAAACCGAGAAAAGTCGAGTAATCGAGAAATGGGAAACCACAAAATCGAAAAGTAGAACGGTAAAAATTGAAATTTTGAAAAATAAAAAAATTTTAAAATCGAAAAAATGAGGAATCAAAAAAATCGGAAAAAAATGAAACAGAAAAATCGAGAAGTGGAGAAACTGAAAAATCGAATGTCGAAAACTTAAAAATTCAAAAAATTGAAAAACTAGAACATCACTATATCTAAAAAATTTAATTGATAACTAGAACATCACTATATTTAAAAATATAAAATTAAAATCATCGAAAAATTATAATATCGAGAAATGGAGAATCAAAAATTGAAAAATCGAGATTTCGGAAACTGAGAATTCTAGAAGTGGAAGCATCTAAAAATCGAAAAATTGAAAAATCGAGAAATGAAAAATTTTAAAACGAAATTAAAATATCAAAAAATCAGAGATCTTGAAAATCGAAAAACTACAAAATCTGAAGCCGAGAAATCGAAAAATCGGAAGATCGAGAAAAGGGAACATAAAAAAATTGAAAAATCTAAAACTAAAAACTTCGAAAAATTAAAATACGTATGTATCGGAAAACTGAAGAATCTAAAAAGTGAAACATAAAAAATTGAAAAACTGAAACTTCAAAATATCGAAAAAAAAATTAAAATATTAAATAAAAAAATCTAGAATTTCAAAATTCGAAAAATTGAAAAAAGAAATAGAAGAACTGAAATATTGGGAAATCGAAGATCTAGAATTTAAAAAAATCGAAAAATTAAAACAGAAATGAAGTATCAAAGAATTAAAAAAAAATCGAGGAGTCGAAAAATAGAGAAGCCCTAAACTGAAATATCGAAAAATTGAGAAATCGAAAAGTCGAAATTCGAAAACGTCGAAAAATTGAAAAATCAAAAATCTTAAAAATCAAAAAATTGAGAAATCAAAAATTGAAGTTTTGAAAAATAAAAAAAAATTAAATCGAAAAATTGAGGAACCAAAAATTGGAAAATCGAGAAACCGAAAAGTCGAAAATCCAAAACGTCGACAAACCTCAAAATCAAAAATTTTAAAAATCAAAAAATTGAGAAATCAAAATTGAAAAACCAAGAAATCGAAAAATCGAAAATCCAAAACGTCGACAAATTTCAAAATCAAAAATTTTAAAGATCAAAAAAAATTGAAAATTTAAAAAGCGTGAAACTGAAAAATTCGAAAGTTGAAAAATCGAAAAACTGAACAGTCTAGTAGTACTCGCTACGATAAGAATGATTTTAGCCAATGATCTACTCTCTAAGAAAACAAAGGGTGGGTGGGTGGGGCTAGTATTTGCCAAAATACGACTCATTTCGGCCTACTCCTCTAAGAAAATAAAGAATAGGTCATCTGTCTTATCTTGGCAAGTATGAAACTGATTTTTGCAAATTACATATCCTCTAAGAAAATAAGGGTGGGTGGACGGGGTTAGTACTTTTTAAAATAAGACTGATTTTGGCAGATGACCCACTCTTCCAAGAAAATAAAGAGTGGGTGGGCGGGGCTAGTACCTTTTCTTAGCGGTCAGAAATTGCATAATTTTTTGTATTTTCCTTCAATTAAACCAAAATCAAGCAAATAAGTACCACCAGACATCAAGCCAACCCAAAGACAAATTCCACTCGTTCCATAAACCTATTATAATCACAAAGATAAGATAGCCTGACTCAACTTCAATCGACTCTCCGTGTTTACCGATCCGTGACGTAGCGCAAACACAATACTCCGAGCCAACACCCGCCAAGAAACAGTACCCCGGTAACCTTCTCGAGTCATGGCCACAATCATTATCCTCACTTTAATAACACTAGCCAGTGCGGACTACTGGACCGACCGGGCCCACCTCATCGCCTCGGACTCGTCCCAAAACATCGGCTCGTCCATCGTCCTCAGCGACAAAGAACGACAAGTCAACAACATCCTCATGGGCGCAAAATTCAAAGAGTACGACCAAGGTTTCGCAAACCCGGAGACGTTCCTGCCGGCGCAACACTTCTTCAAGAGTAAGAGCAAGATCGAGGAATCGGGGGTGTTCAAATTCATCCAGAAAGTACCAAAAGGGGCGTCGTTGCACTCCCATGATTCGGCTTTAGTGTCTTTGGAGTACTTGTACAACCTCACGTACCGGGAAAACTTGTACGGGTGTGTGGTGAATCAACGACTCAGGTTGCATTTCTTTGACAGCGCGAGTGGTGATTGCGAGTGGGAGCTCATCCAGGATTTGAGGAAACAGAATTCGTCGTTTGATGAGTACTTGAGGTCGCAGTTGTCGATTATTGTCGACGATCCGGAAAAAGAGTACCCGAGTATTACGCAAGTGTGGAATCGGTTTATGCAGACGTTTAGTACCGTTTTTGGACTAGTGGCCTATCGACCAGTCTTCCAGGACTACTTTTACCAAGCCCTTAAAGAACTGTACGACGACAACGTGATGTACATAGAGTTCAGAGGGTTACTTCCTGAAGTGTACGAACTCAACGGTACCACCTACGACCCTGAAGGTGTCGTAGGACTGTACTTGGAAACTTTGGAGGACTTCAAATCCGACTATGCCGATTTTTTCGGGGCCCGCTTTATTTACGCTCCCAGTCGTTCCGTCAACAACAAAACAGCAGACGACTATGTAACCACAGCAACCAAACTCAAGACGCTCTTCCCGGATTTTATAGCCGGTTTTGATTTAGTGGGTCCAGAAGATAGAGGTAAACCGTTAGTCCAATTTATTCCACAGCTGCTCCGTCTGTCTAAAACCATGAAATTTTTCTTCCACGCCGCCGAGACCAACTGGTGTGGTACCACCACCGACATGAATCTCTTCGACGCTATTCTTCTGAACACCACTCGAATCGGGCACGGCTACGGCATAATCAAACACCCCAAGCTCCTGAAGGAAGTCAAGGAGCGCCACATCGCTCTGGAAGTCAGCCCCATTTCCAACCAAGTCTTGAAACTGGTCGACGATTTGAGGAACCACCCGGGTGCTCTTTTGGTGGCGGGTGGTTTCCCGGTGGTGATTACCTGTGACGACCCCACGTTTTGGGGTGCGAAGGGTTTGAGTTACGACTGGTACATGGCGTTCATGGGTTTCGCGAGTCGGGAGAGCGACTTGAGGATGTTGAAGCAGCTGGCTATCAATTCTTTGAAGTATAGTGCGATGGAAGAGGAAGAGAAGTGTGATGCGTTTAATAAGTGGGAGCTGATGTGGAATCGGTTTCTGGATGAGGTGCTCAAATCCAGCGTTAGCAAATATTTCGACTGCTACACTGTCAATAGGGTGAGATAAGGAGTGTTTGTTGCGGGAAGTGAAGAGTTTGCTTAGTGATTCCGGAAGATGGTTTCGAACGGAGATAAGTGCGAGAGTACTTAATGATAAGAGCGATCAAGGTTTTATATAAATCTCGTGTTTGATAAGAAAATAATAAAGGTTACTATCAGTACTAAACTTGTAGTTTCTTGTTCAGTAAAATAGAAAGCTGCCATGGAAGAAGAAGAAATATTCGATCAGTTTCAATATTTTGACTGACAGTGTCAATAGGGTTAGATAAGAATGTTTGTTGCGGGAAGTGAAGAGTTTGCTTTGTGATGCCGGAAGATAGCTTGAAATGGCGATAAGGCGAGGAGGGTACTTATGTGAGATAAGAATGTTCAAGGTTATTTATTTATATTAATCTCTTTGTGATAAAAAATTAATAAAAGCTGTTATCGGGGCTTTGTTCGATTTGAAGGGGCTCGTGAAGCACATGTTGACGAGTATGGACAATGGTGCCTTGTTTCGGGGATAGTCTGAATTATGGATCTTGTAATTTCTACTTAAATAAATTGAAGGTACTTCAATTTTATTTAAAATTCGTTGTGAAACTTATTAATTGAATTTATTGCTCTATACATGGTTAATAAACTGCTAAACTACTCTCTTTATGACGTCCATGATTGACTCAGTAACTTCTTGTAGTCCGCACATTTCATACAATGGTGTATTGTGGGTTGCCTAACCTCACTTTTTGGTATTGGTATCCCCGAGAAGCTAAATTAATAAGAATAATTTTGTTGTTTTTTAAAAATGTGAGTTTAATGATTTTCTGGCCCTAAATTAATTGCAAAAATGATCGAAGATCATTTCGACAGAACTTCCCTCGACATCTTTGACATATTATTTTAAAAAGTTGCGATTTTCGTTTTCTGAAAACTTCTATAAAGTAAAAAAAACATATTTAAATCAGATAATAAATCAAACATTTTAAAAGTCGAAAAATTGAAAACCGGAAAGTGGAGAAATCGAAAAAATTTAAAAATTGGAAAAATTAAACTATCGAAAAATTGAGAAATCCGAGATTCAAAAATTCAAAAGATCGAAATATTGAAAAACTGAGAAATCGAAAACTGAAAACCCAGAAATGGAAAAGGCAAACAAACGAAAAATCGAAAAATTAAAATTTTAAAAATCGCAATCGAAAAATCGAAAAATCAAAGGTTTCAAAATTCGAAAAATGGCAAATTCTGAAACAGAATTCGAAAAAGCGAAATATCGAAAAATCTGAAATCTAAATTATCGAAAAATTAAAATGCGTATCGAGAAACTGAAACATCAAAAAGTGGAAAAATCTACAACTCCAAAAATAATTTTTGAAATTCTAGATTTTTTTATTTAAATTTTTTTTCGATTTCTTGAAGTTTCGGTCTTTCGATTTTGTGGTTTCCCATTTCTCGATTACTCGACTTTTCAATGTTTCAATTCATCGATTTTTTGACTTTTTAGTTTTTCAGTTCTTCAATGTCTCAATTTTTCAAGTTTTTGATTTTCCCGTTTTTTGATTTTTTAAATTTTTGATTTCTCAATTTTTCGATATTTCAGTGTAGGGTTTTTCTATTTTTCGATATTTTTAAATTCTAGATTCTTCGATTTCCCTATCATTCAGTTCTCCTATTTCTTTTTTCAATTTTTCGAATCTCTAAATTTTGGACATTCGAATTTTCGATTTCTCGACTTCTAGATTTTTCAATTTTTTGATTTTTGAAATTCTAGATTTTTTCATTAAAAATTTTTTTTTTGGTTTTTTGAAGTTTCAGTTTTTCGATTTTTTATGTTTCATTTTTTAGATTCTTCAGTTTTTCGATACATTCGTATTTTAATTTTTCGAATATTTTAGTTTTAGATTTTTCAATTTTTTTTATGTTCCCATTTCTCGATCTTTCGATTTTTCAGTTTCTCCACTTCTCGATTTTTTTGTTTTCTAATTTTTGAAATTCTAGACTCTTTGAGTTAATTTTTTTTTTTTCGATTTTTTGAAGTTTCAGTTTTCCGATTTTTTATGTTTCGTTTTTTAGATTCTTTAGTTTTTCGATACATACATAAAATAAAAATATTTTCGAATATTTTAGTTTTAGATTTTTCAATTTTTTTATGTTCCCATTTCTCGATCTTTCGGTTTTTCGAATTCTCGGCTTCAAATTTGCCGTTTTTCGATTTTTAAGACCTTTGATTTTTTTGATATTTCAATTTCGTTTTAAAATTTTTCATTTCTCGATTTTTCAATTTTTGATTCTCCATTTCTCGATTTTATAATTTTTCGACGATTTTAATTTTAAATTTTTGAATATATTGATGTTCTAGTTCTTCAATTTTTTGAATTTCTAAGTTTTCGGCATTCGATTTTTCAGTTTCTCCACTTCTCGAGTTTTCTGCTTTAGTTTTTTTCCGATTTTTTTGATTCTTCAATTTTTCGATTTTAAGCTTTTTTCATTTCTCAAACTTTCAATTTTTACCCTTTTCGACTTCTCGATTTTGTGGTTTCCCATTTCTCGATGACTCGACTTTTCAATGTTTCGATTCATCGATTTTTTGATTTTTTAGTTTTTTAGTTCTTCAATGTCTCAATTTTTCAAGTTTTTGATTTTCCAATTTTTCGATTTTTAAAATTTTTGATTTTTCAATTTTTCGAGCGTTTTGTATTTTCGATTTTTCGATTTCTTGATTTTTCAATTTTTGATTTCTCAATTTTTCGATATTTCAATTTAGGGTTTTTCTATTTTTCGATTTTTTTAAATTCTAGATTCTTCGATTTCCTTATGTTTCAGTTCTCCTATTTCTTTTTTCAATTTTTCGAATTTCCAAATCTGCGTCATTCGATTTTTTGATTGTGGAAATTCAAGATTTTTTTATTAAAAATTATTTTTTTTGGTTTTTTGAAGTTTCAGTTTTTCGATTTTTTATCTTTCAATTTTTAGATTCTTCAGTTTTTCGATACATATGTATTTTAATTTTTTGAATATTTTAGTTTTAGATTTTCCAGTTTTTTTTTGTTTCCATTTCTCGAGCTTTCGGTTTTTCGAATTCTCGGCTTCAGATTTTGCATTTTTTTGATTTTTAAGATCTTTGATTTTTAATATTTCAATTTCGTTTCAAAATTTTTCATTTCTCGATTTTTCAATTTTTGATTCTCCATTTTTCGATATTATAATTTTTCGATGATTTTAATTTTAAATTTTTGGATATAGTGATGTTCTAGTTTTTCAAAATTGAATTTCTAAGTTTTCGACATTCGATTTTTCAGTTTCACCACTTCTCGATTTTTCTGTTTTCTAATTTTTGAAATTCTAGATTCTTTGAGTTAAATTTTTATTTTTTTTTTCGATCTTTTATGTTTCGATTGTTAGATTCTTCAGTTTTTCGATACATACGTATTTTAATTTTTCGAATTTTTTAGTTTTAGATTTTTCAATTTTTTTATGTCCCCATTTCTCGATCTTTCGGTTTTTCGAATTCTCGGCTTCAGATTTTGCAATTTTTTGATTTTTAAGATCTTTGATTTTTTTAATATTTCAATTTCATTTTGAAATTTTTCATTTCTCGATTTTTCAATTTTTCGATTTTTCGATGCTTCCACTTCTAGAATTCTCAGTTTCCGATATCCCGATTTTTAAATTTTTGATTCTCCATTTCTCCATATTATAATTTTCGATGATTTTGATTTTATATTTTTAAATATATTGATGTTTTAGCTTTTCATTTTTTTGAATTTCTAAGTTTTCGACATTCGATTTTTCAGTTTCTCCACTTCTCGATTTTTCTGTTTTATTTTTTTCCGATTTTTTTGATTCCTCAATTTTTCGATTTTAATTTTTTTTTATTTCTCAAACTTTCAATTTTTACCCTTTTCGACTTTTCGATTTTGTGGTTTCCCATTTCTCGCTTATTCGACTGTTCAATGTTTCGATTCATCGATTTTTTGATTTTTTAGTTTTTCAGTTCATCAACGTCTTATTTTTTCAAGTTTTTGATTTTCCAATTTTTTGATTTTTAAAATTTTTGATTTCGATATTTTTCGACGTTTTGGATTTTCGACTTTTCGATTTCTTAATTTTTCAATTTTTCATTTCTCAATTTTTCGATATTTCAATTTAGGGCTTTTCTATTTTTCGACTTTTCGAGTTTTTTTTTAATTCTTTGATACTTCATTTCTCGATGTTTTAATTTTTCGATTTTTTTAAATTCTAGATTCTTCGATTTTCCAATGTTTCAGTTCTTCTATTTCTTTTTTCAATTTTTTTCACTTGAAAAATCGAGAAGTTGAAAACTCGAAAAATTGAATGTGAAAAATTTAGAAATTCGAAAAATTGAAAAACAGAAATCGAAGAACTGAAACATCGAGAAATTGAAAAATCTAAAATTGAAAAATCGAGAAATCAAAAAGTTGAAAAATCATAACGTAGAAAAATTTCAAAATCAAAAATTTTAAAGATAAATTGAAAAATCAAAAACTTGACAAATTGAAACATTGGAATTTTTTGATTTTTAATTTTTCAAGCGCTCAAGTTAAAATTTTTCCTTTTCACGATCTCATTTTTCAATTTTTTACTAAAAGGACAAATTTATTCTAACCGAAATTTTGAAAAGTCGAAAAATCCAAAAATTGATCATTAGAAACAAAATTTTCAGATGTTTTAAAGTTACGGTAAACATGGCAATCGCTGATTAAAATTACTTTTTACTTCCTCCCAAAAACTCGGTGACAATAAATCAAAAAACGAAAATTTAAAAAAATATTCATCTATTTTCTCGATATTTTTAAAAATCAATTAATTGAGAAATTGGAAAACTGCCACAATTGAAAAATTAAAAAATCAGTTGCCCAGAGAAATCAAAAATCCGAAGACAGATCAAAAAATTGAAAATTTAAAAACCGAGTAACCGAAAGATCGAGAAACGGGAATATATGAAAAATCTAAAACTAAAAATTCGAAAAATTAAAAAATTGAAAACTCAAACAACTGAAAAATCGAGAAATCAAAAAGTTTAATGTTTAAAATATCAAAAAATCTAAAAAATGAAACAAAAAATCGAAAAACTGAAACTTCAAAAAAATGAGAAATCAAAAATTGAAAAATCGAGAAATTGAAAAGTTAAAAAATCAAATCGTAGAAAAATTGAAAAACCAAAAATCTAAATATTCAAAAAATGAAAAAATCAAACACCTGAAAAATTGAAACATTGAAGAATAGAAAAACTGAAAAATCAAAAAATTGAGAAACCGAAACATTGAAGAGTCGAGTAATCGAGAAATGGGAAATTCAAAAAATCGAAAAGTCGAAAACTACAAAAATTGAAAGTTTGAGAAATAAAAAAAATTAAATTCGAAAAATTGGAGAATCAAAAAAATCAGAAAAAAAATTTAAATTTTAAATCAAAGAATCTAGAATTTCAAAAATCAGAAAACAGAGAAATCGAGAAGTAGAGAAACTGAAAAATCGAATATCGAAAACTTAGATATTCAAAAAATTGAAAAACTAGAACATCAATATATTTAAAAATTTAAAATTAAAATCATCGAAAAATTATAATATCGAAAAATGGAGAATCAAAAATTGAAAAATCGAGATATCGGAAACAGAATTCTAGAAGTGGAAGCATCGAAAAATCGAAAAATTGAAAAATCGAGAAATGAAAAAGTGTAAAATTTAAAATATCAAAAAATTAAAATACGTATGTATCGAAAAACTGCAGAATCTAAAAAATGAAACATAAAAATCGAAAAACTGAAACTTCAAAAAATCGAAAAAAAATAAAAATTTTAAATCAAAAAATCTAGAATTTATCGAGAAGTCGAGAAATCGAATCTCAAAAATTTAGAAATTCGAAAGATTGAAAAAAGAAATAGGAGAACTGAAACATTGGGAAATCGAAGAATTTAGAATTAAAAAAAATCGAAAAATTAAAACATCGAGAATTGAAGTACCAAAGAATTTAAAAAAATCCAAAATTCGAAAAATAGAAAAGCCCTAAACTGAAATATCGGAAAATTGAGAAATCAAAAATTTTAAAAATTAAAAAATTGAAAAATCAAAAACTTGAAAAATTGAGACATTGAAGAACTGAAAAACTAAAAAATTTAAAAAATCGATGAATCGAAACATTGAAAAGTCGAGTAATTGAGAAATGAGAAACCACAAAATCGAAAAGTCGAAAACGGCAAAAATTGAAATTTTGAAAAAAAAAATTGAAAGATCGAAAAATTGGAAAAACAAAAAATCAAAAGAAAAACAGAAATCGAAGAACTGGAACATCGAGAAATTGGTAATCTAAGCTTAAAGAAATCCAAAAATGAAAATATCGAGCAACGAATAAAAAAATTGAAAAATCGAGAAATCGGAAACTGAGAATCTAGAAGTGAATGCATCAAAAGTCGAAAAATTGAAGAATTTAAAAACCGAAATAGACAAATCAAAAAATCAAAGATTTTAAAAACCTGAACTCGAGAATTTGAAAAATCGAAAGATGGAGGAATGGGAAAAAAAATTGAAAAATCTAAAATTAAAAAATTCGAAAAATTAAAAAAGAGATAAATGAAACAACTGAAAAAGCGAGAAATCGAAAAATTAAAGCTAAAAAATCGAAAAACCAAGAAATCGAAACATCACAAAATTGAGAAAACGAGACATGGGAAACCCAAAATATCGAAAATTCAGTTCAACCAGAAATCAACCGTTGAAAAATTGAAAATTTGAAAAATGGGAAAATTTAAAAATCGAAAAACTGGAGAACCAAAAAATAAAAAAAAGTAAAACAATAAAGTGTAGAATTTCAGAAATTAAAAACTTGAGAAATCGAAAAGTCCAGAAATAAAAAAATCGAATGTCAAAAATTTAGAAATTCAAAAAATGGAAAAACCGAAATCGGAAGAACTGGAACATCGAGAAATTGAAAATCTAAGCTTAAAAAAATCCAAAAATGAAAATATCGAGAAACGAATAAAAAAACTGAAAAATCGAGAAATCGGAAACTGAGAAATCTAGAAGTCAAAGCATCAAAAAGCCGAAAAATTGAAGAATTTTAAAAATCGAAATAGACAAATCAAAAAATCAAAGATTTTAAAAACCTGAACTCGAAAATTGGAAAAATCGAAAGATCGAGGAATGGGAACAAAAAAAAATTGAAAAATCTAAAATTAAAAAATTCGAAAAATTAAAAAATAGACAAATGTAACAGCTGAAAAATCGAGAAATCGAAAAATCTAAAGTTTAAAATATCGGAAAATTGAAACACGTACGTATCGAAAAACTTAAGAATCGAAAAACTGAAACGTCAAAAAATCCAAAAAAAAGAAAAATAATTTATTTATTTCCTCAAAAACCAACAATTGTGAGTAACGTGACTTTGTTTTATCTTTTTCACAATAACATCGATTAGATTTTTTCTAAATTAGTTCCTCTATTGATTTATTTATCACCCATTTATTGGTATTATAGTGACTCATCACCTTATCAGACAAGTGCACACGACCCACCTCACCCAAGCTTATCAGTTCTGGGTAATTTGTCCGGTTTAAGCAGAATCATACACAGTTTTGAAACGTTACACATTTTAGTGCAAAGTATAAACATTCACAGCGATTAAAAAAAAATGAAAAATAAAAAACCACCAAAAAACAAATAACACTAAAGAATTTTGACATGTTTGTTTTTCATTATCAGGTAAAGTGCTTCTAACACACTGCATCCCCTTATCAACAAATATATAAGTACATGCACAGGTTTGTAAAATTGAAACTTTGCGTCTATCAGTTACTAAATATTATATTATACTAATTCGGCAAATAGAAGAATCAGGAAACTGAGTAGTCGTTAAGTACATCGATCTTGGAATTTCCTAATTCTAAAGAAAATAAATAAGTCATGGTACAGATCAGGTGATACAGTATCATCTTAAATAATCTCTAACGTTAATTATGACTAATAGGGCTTGGCAGACATGACTAAAGCCCTCGCTTATCATCCTGGAGCAAAATATCAATCAAGAAATTATTCCACTGTTGTTGCCATCGTTTCATAGCATCATTCTTCTCTTCCTTGTCCATCGCGCTATACCGAATCGAATTAATCGCCAGCTGCTTCAAAACCTCAAGCCCTTTATTCTTCGGAGTCATCGCCATAAAGACAACGTACCAATCGTAGCTCAAACCTGTAGCATTCCAAATCGAGGGATCGTCGTTACCTATAACAATAGGATAGTTCAAAGCCATCAAGGTAGCCGCAGGGTGATTCCGCGGGTCTTCATTCAACTTAAGTACTTGATTAGAAATGGGGCAAATCTCTAGAGGTATGTCGTGTTCTTTCCCAAAATCTAGAAGCTTCGGGTGTTTCGTAATAGCAAAACCGTGACCGATTCTACAAAAAAAAAAACGATACAAGGTTACAAGGTTTCAAGGTTTCAACTCACCTGAAGGAATTCAGCAGTAGGGCGTCAGCTAAATTAAGATCTGTGTGTCCAAACCACGAGCTCTCCCCAGCGTGGAAGAAAAACCTGAGGTACTTCTGCGCTTGCAGAAGCTGCGGGGCGTAATCCAGCAACGTTTTCCCCTCTTCTTCAAACCCCACGAAGTCAAAACCTGCCACAAAATCAGGGAAGAGTTTCTTCATCGCGATGATTTCGTCCAGGCCTTGTTGAAGTGTGTCGAAATCTACGCCTCGGTAAATCGAGTGTATGTACCGTACTCCCACGAATTTGGGGTGGCTGCTCTTGAACTCCTCAACCGCGGCTTGAAAAATCCGGAAAAAGTCCTGTTTGGAGTATGTTGTGCCATCCAGGTCGTACAAAATCATGATCGTGCCTTTGAGCTCTGTGTACATGACGTTGTCGTCGTAGAGTTCCTGCAGGACTCGCTGGATGTACTCTTGAAACACGGGTTTGTAGGAGTAGAGGTCGTACGTGGTGGTGAAGATGCGTTTGAATTTGGTCCAAGCGGTTTCTATACTCGGGAAGTCTTGGGTTAGGGTTAGTTGTTCTAGCAGCCACTGGTCGAAACGTTGTGACCCTTGTTGAAGTCGCAGATCTTTAACGGAAGTCCATTTCGTCCGGTTGTCTTTCAGCGGGTCGTCCATGAACTTGAGTTTGAACACACCGTTGACTTCGCCACCGTACAAACCGTCTCTGTAGCTGATGTTTTTGACTAGGAAGTCCACAGAAGCGGCTGCCAACAAGTGGGTGTGTAACGAACCCCCTTTGGGTAGTTTCCGGATGAAACCGAACACCTTCGACTCGTCGATTCGTTCTTTGGCACGGTGAAAAGGCAACGCTGGGAGAAACTCCGACGAATTTTTGTAACCTAAACCGAGTTCGGTTGTCTTCAACTCGAGCAAAATCTTGTCCACTTTGAGTTCGGTGCTCGTGAGAGTGAGGTTCGCCCCGAGGAAAGCCGAGTCTTCCTCGGCTAGCAGCCGATCGCGTTTTTTACAATAATCTTCACTTTTGTTTAACAACATCGCTAACACGACGGAGAGGATGATCAATATTAAGGTCACTATGGCTATCACGGACTTGTACATCTGGCAGTGTTGATGCTGGGCGGTTTGATTGGCAACTAAATTGAACCAGTGCTGCCGAGCTTCTATATAGATCGGTAACTGGGGGAAGAACCGAAGAATATTGCGCGGTAGTTTAGTGTTAAAGTTTTGGGAAATAAGTGAGTATTTTGGGAACGTGACAAAAGATTGCGCCATGAGGTACCGATTTTGTGGTTGTTGGAGTGGTTCATCCGGTGCTAAAAATAGGTCAATTAATGGAAGTTGCTTACGACTTTTTCTTCAAATAGTTCTAAACATACTAGATATCAGCGTTTATTTAACCTTGGGGCTTGTCTAAATCTCGCAGCCTTTGCTTCACTTTGATAAAATTTTTCAGTACTGTTTGCTACTTTTTTCGTTTGTGAGTTTGACGATGCGTTAATTTTGCGTCGTTTGAATTCGAATGGGTCAAGTTTAGAGTCAAGGTTGTTTTGACACTAGCGACTCAATATGGGAAAATAATAAAAACAAATTACTTCACATGACACGTACAATTTAATAGCTTCAACGACTTTGAGTCATTCTCAATTTTTTAAATAGTTAAACTTGTACTAATTTATTCAGGATTTTGTCTGTTTTTAAAATCTATTATCGCCAAAATCTGATCAACCGATTTTAATCTTGGCCTAGAATTGTAGACAACTTGTCCAAACTTGTCCACAGTTCGTAAAATTGCACAACTTTTCGTCACCACAATGTTTCTTTTAAATTAAAAAGGAAATCACAAAGGCCTGATAAAAAAATATGTCATGTGACAGAGATGTCCTTGAGATTTCACTTAGATCACACATCTGTGTGACTAAGCAATGACTTCGATAACAAACAATTGTCTATAATTTGACTTTTGTTAACCTTCCAGCCCAGAAATTTCCACCAATTTTCGAATTTTTCAAAGATTTTTTTACGTATTTATAACATAGACTCATCAAAACCCACTAAATTTAATCTTTTTAGATAAAATATATTTTACATCAGGGAATAAATGGGCAGTTAATTTTGGAAAATCTGTCATTGGATTTTTGTAAGAATTATTGGTTGCCTACCTTCTGCCTGTAAACACGGTTGTAGATTTATGCCTCTAACAAACATGGAGAAAGTTCAGAATATTAGATTAGGTCTTTAGCCATAATCACAAGAAAGCGGCAAAATTCACGAAATTTCAAAAAATAGAGAACAAAAAAAAATGCAAAAGCTACAAGAAATACGAAAAAAGCCCACAACAAAAAATTTATAAAAACGGGCGCCATAAACGTGGCCAAAAAAGGCCACTAATAAAAGTGAGTAAAAAAGCGTCAAAAAAGACCACAAAAGAAAACAAAAAAGTAATAAAACATGGACACAAAGTTCAGAAAAAAGGGACAAATTGTGTGAAAAGAGAGGACCAAAATCCATAAAAAATCAGAAGAAGGAAGTTACGAAAGGGCCACAAAACTAGGTCACAAAAAAGAGAACAAAAAACAACAAAAAAGGTCACAAAAAAGCAGAAGACAAAAAAATTGACAAGAAGAACGACTTCAAAAAGTGACAAAAAAAACAAAAAAATTCAAAAAAGGCAAATACAAAGCTTCACAAAAAATACAAAAAAGGCAACTAAAAAGTCGTAAAAAAAGGAGAAAAAACAAAAAGTTCACAAAAAAGACGAAAAGGTACAAAGAAGAAAATAAAAAAGGAGCAAAAGTTCCGAAACAAAAGCGATAAAAATACAAAAACAGGGTTCAAAAATCCAAAAAGCCACTACAAAAAGTTACAAAAAAGTGGGACAGAACCGGTATAAAAAAATGTGACTAGGACTTCAAAAAAATACACAAAAATGCCAGAATGAAAGGCGAATAGAAAAATGTTCCAAAAAACAAAACGAACAATGTCAAAAAATCAAAGCAAAAGAACATAGAAAAGAAAAAAGTTCACAAAAAAGGCAACAAATATGCGGAAAAAACACAAAAAAACTGTAAAAAAAGAAAAGGCCACTACAAAAAGTCACTAAAAAAGGAGGCAAAAAAACACGACGAAACAATGCAACAAAATTACTAAAAAAGAACAAAAACCACTACAATAGGCGACAAAAAGGAATAAAAAAAAATAAAAAAGAGACCAAGAGCGAAAAAATGCGAAAAGAGGAGATAAAAAATCCCTGAAAAAGGTCAAGAACGCTACAAAAAGACGACAAAACCAGGTCTCAAAAAAGACAACAAAAGTGACAGAAAAAAATATAAAAAACCAATAATACAAAGAGTCACAAAGAAAAAAAGAAAAAATACAAAAAGTTCATAAAATAGACTAAAAAAATTCCTTAACAATCGAAAATTTGAAAAATCGGGAAAACTAAAAATCGAAGAATTTTAAAAATTGAAAAACCAAAAATTGCGAAATCGAAAAATGTATAATTTAAAAAAACGAAAAATTGAAAAATAGAAATATCGAAGAAGTGAAAATCGAAAAATCGAAAAAATTAAAAATTTTAAATTGTAAAATTTAAAAACCGAAAATCGAAAAATCGAAACAAAAATTTTAATAACCGAAAAATTGAAAAATCGAGAAATCGCAAAGTCAAAAGATCGAGAAATCGAGAAGTCGAGAAGTCGAAAAACTGAGAAACCGAAATAGGCCAAAATCGAAAAATTGAAAAATTGAAATATTGAGAAATAGGTCGATTTCGAAAAGTTAATATTTAAAAATTTGAAAAATCGAAAAATTTAAAAGCAGAAAAATAGATAAACGAAAAAACGGAAAAATGGGAAAACTGAGAAACCAAAATAGGGCAAAATAAAAATCGAAAAGTTATAAATTGAAAAACTGAACGTCCAAATCTCGATAAATCGGAAACCACAACACTGAAAAATCGAAAAATTTGAAAAATGAAAAATCAAAAAGTGGAAAATTTGAAAAATTCGATAAATTGAAAAATTGAAAAAGTAAAAAAATCGGCACATCGAAATCCTCAAGTCAAAAATCGAAAAGTCGAAGAATCGATAATATCGAGAATGGGAAAACTGAAAAATCCCAAAACTAAAATATCTAAAAGCAGAGAATCTAAAAAACTGAAAAATTGAGAAATCGAAAAGCCAAAAAATGAAGTCGAAAAAATTCGTAAAATTGAAAAATCGGAAACCTGAAAAATCGAAAAATTGAAAAATTGAAGAACTGGAAAATCGAAAAAATCTAATGTCAAGAAATGGGAAAATCAAAACATCGATTAGTTGAAAAACCGAAAAATTGAGAAGTTAAAAACTAAAAAATACCAAAACGGAAATATCCAAAGCTGAGAATCTGAAAAACTCAAAAAAATGAAGTCGAAAAATCGAAACCGTAAAAAAAATCGAACAATTGAAAAATCAAAAACCTGAAAAATTGAAAAATTGACGAATTGAAGAACTGGAAAAGTCAAAAAATGGGAAAATCAAAATATCGATTAATTGAAAAACCGAAAAATTGAGAAGTAAAAAACTGAAAAAGCCACAACAAAAAAAAAATACTAAAAATGGGGGCCAAAAAACGTGATAAAAAATACGACTAAAAAATGAGTCAAAAAAGACGATAAAAAAGGCCACAAAAAGAACAAAAAACGCTACATGAAGCGACAAAAAGGCACAAAAATAGGTGACTTCAAAAGGTGACAGAAAAAGACCATAAAAAAGCAAAACAAAGTGAATAAAAAATGACAAAAAGTCCCAAAGGACTAAAAAATCAATGAAAATTAGAAAAAGAGCACAACAAAAAATATTAGCAAAAATGGGGGCAAAACAACGTGATAAAAAATTGCAACTACAAAAAATTAATCAAAAAGATACGTTATTCAAAGGCCACAAAAAAGAACAAAAAACGATACAACAAGCGACAAACTAAAGGCACAACAAAATAAATAAAAAAGCAGCAAAAGTTCCGAAACAAAAGCAACAAGAATGTTAAAAGAGAGGACAAAAATCCATTAAAAAAAAGAAAATAAAAACTCAAAATAGTTTGCAACAAAAACAACAAATAAATGCGAAAAAAACAAATCCACCAAAAAGCTACAAAAATACGGCATAAACAGAACAAACATAATTATTTTACTGACGACGAGAAGTCGAGTCCAGAATAACAATGAGTCCGCCAAAACTTTACTCATTTACTCATTTTATGGACACAAGAAAGTAAATGCGTCCTACTGCACAATAAAGAAAAGACATAGATATTCATTAGCTGGAGAAAGAACGAACAAAATAAATTGAGAATAATAAAAATCAAAAAAATAAAAATTGGAAAATCTAAAATTTAAAAATTGAGAAATTGAAAAATCGGATCATTGAGAAATCGAAGCATCAAAAATTTGGAAAATCGAAAAGTTAAAAAAAAGATGGAAAATCGGAAATTTAAAAAATCCCGAAAATTGAAAAATTGAAATATAGAAGAACCGAAACTCGAGAAATCAAAAAAATAGAATTTTAAAAATCGAAAAATTAAATATCGAAAAGTTGAAAAATTGAGAAATCTAAAGTTTAAAAAACGAAAAACTGAAAAACGGGAAATGCAGAAGTCGAAAAATCGTAAGCTTATAAAATCGAAAAATTGAAAAATCAAAATCCTGAGAAATTAAAAAATTGTAACATAAAACACCTGAAAAATCGAAAAATTGACGAACTGAAGAAGTGAAAAATCGAAACTTTGGGAAAAAATGGGAAAATAAAAAAAGATTACTTCAGAAATCGGAAAACTGAAAATTTAGAAACGTCAAAATCTGAAAAATTAAAAAATTGAAAAATCGAAAAATAAAAAAATGGAGAATTCGAAAATTTGAAGAATGGAAAAATTGAGAAATTAAAATTTAGGAATCGAAAAATTATAATTTAATGGGAAACAAAAATTCGAAAAATTGAAAAATAAAAAAATTCACAACTCGATAAACTGAAAAATTGAAGAATCGAAAAATCGAAAAAAAGTCAAAAAATTAAAAATCGAATTTTCAAAAGTGGAAAATCGAAAAATTCAGAAATCAAGAAATTGAAAAATCGAGAAACTAAAACTGAGGAATCGAAAAATTATTTAATGGGAAGTTAAAAATTCGAAAAATTTAAAAATAAAAAAATTCACAACTCGATAAACTGAAAAATTGAAGAATCGAAAAATCGAAAAAAAGTCAAAAAATTAAAAATGGAATCTTCAAAAGTGGAAAATCGAAAAATTCAGAAATCAAGAAATTGAAAAATCGAGAAACTAAAATTGAGGAATCGAAAAATTTTTTAATGGGAAATTAAAAATTCTAAAAATTTAAAAATAAAAAAATTGTAAAATCGAAAAATTGTAACACCCAGAAATTCAGAAATCAAGAAATTGAAAAATTGAGAAATTAAAATTAGGAATCGAAAAATTATAATTTAATGGGAAACAGTAATTCGAAAAATTGAAAAATAAAATAATTGACAACTCGATAAA